TGAGAAATGACTGGGGGGGAAAGGTCTCTCTCGGCCATTTCAAAAACCCAACTCAAATTTAAATTTTGTCCTCAATTTGATATTAATCATTTATTTTAAATTGATTAGTTATAATGTTATAAAAATATGTTTACATGATTTCAATGATTTGTTTTGAGTATTTACATTTGGTTAGTTTTATAAAACAACGTATTTAATACTAAAATCCTAAATGCACAAGGAAACAAAATTATCCTAAATGCACAAGGAAACAAAATTATAAGTACCGAAAAAAATATAAAACAACGACGATCAAACCAAATTATTCCCTTGAAGAGTTGAAATCAACCAAAAAAGGGGAAAATTCTATCGAAATAAACTAAAAAATGGAAAAAAATCTCACTAATTCAAACAAAGGATCGAAAATTTCTCTCGAATTCAACCCAAAAAACAAAATAGTACCTTGAAATAAGCAAAAACCTAAAAAGATCTTTCGAAATCAATCAACAAACTTAAGAAACCTCTCGAATCCGGAATTAAGCTAAATCACATGCATCAAGCGACTTTACATGCATTTGATCTAATTTAAAGGTGCATCCGATCGACGGAAATCCTGGATCTGCCACTAGTAAGCGTTTGATAAACGACCCTTTAGTCTCGATACCAAGAGGGTGGTATTTTTCTTCCTCGAACATGATACAGTGGCAAGTTACTGGTCTCTTGACGGTGAAATTTAAGTTTAATCCACTAACATGGATACAAAAAATTTACATCATGAATGTTGTACACGAAAAAAGGCAGAAAAGATGATACTTCTTTGTACCATTTGCAGCCTTGTTTTCAATATAATTCTCCCTTTTATGAATCCAATTATAATCTTCACACTTTACCCTTCACTCTTTATCGTACATATAACATTATTTGAATCTTTATAGTACACATAAAATAATTTGTCTTTGGTGGTACAAAAAGATCTCTATAGAAGAATCCACCTACCTTAAGGTCTTATTGAATCAACCATTAAGCATTTTATAGCATCTTTTAGTGAGAAAACACATTCCGCTTGTCAAAATGGTCTTAATCTTTTTATCTTTCTTGTTGTTATCAACTTAGAACTCGGGTACGAACCTTTGAATGAGACAAAATTTACACAGATTGTCTCTTTTATCTAAACTGGATTATGAAGATATGATTTGTTAATCTTATATATATATATATATATATATATATATATAACCATTGTCGATATTTTGCATAAAATGTGGCTATAATTTGTAACAGAAAAATAAGTCATAAACGATTCAATTGGCATTTGAGATCAACAAAAACATTCCCCCAACTTGTCACATCTCTCTAAATGTGTTCATAATCATATACAATTAACCATTAATATATCACTTCATAACTAAATTTTCATTATTGATAAATCAAGTTCATTTATTTTCCGGTACATCTTGAAACATTTGACATCCCTTTTACAAAGTAATGTCTTTTACTTTCTATCAAATCATCCTCATTTCTCACTTGCTAAGTTGGTGATGATAAAAAGAACCTTTCCAATACCTTCCATTGTCCATATCTTATTCTGTAACATATCTTGAAGGTTTCTAAGATCTCACATCAGTCGGGGAGGGAAACTAAGGTGATCTTATAAGAGACTGACATCTCCTTTATCAGACGTGTTTATGTAACATCACAAACCAACCATACTTTATATTGTCCGTTTTCTTCACACACATGAGCAGGTATCCAGTCCCTTATAAGAGACTATCTGATACAGTTGACATGAGATGTTACATTATCACAAAATTTGTATAATATTATTGAGAAATTTACCCCTTTTGCTCAAAATCTTTATAAAAAGTTGTATTATGATGAATATCTTCCAAATTTTGATAGATAAGGTAACTTTTTTCACTTTCTTTCTCTTGTTTCTCAAGGAGGTGATATGTGTTCCCCACATATTGGAGTCTTTTCTACTTTTCCCCCCCTCCTTTTACAATGGATGGCTTAAAAGTTTGAACCAAAATTTGGATTATTTCTCCTTTATTATTTTCCACATGTACACACACATACATATATATATATATATATATATATATATATATATATACAACCACTTCTTGTCTTCATTTACACGTGTTATATATATATATATATATATATATATATTATAAAGGGGGATTATGTGTAGTGGAAGCAAATATGTTAGCTTGGTAACAAAACAAACCATCAAGATTTCCCATATGTTCCAAAACCTTCCCAAGATAAATATATTAACATTATATCTTTATTTTTTCTATTAATTATTTTTTTAAACAATTTAATCATTTTGAGTTTTAATATATATATATATATATATATATATATATATATATATATATAGAGGGTATATTTCAAATGCAACCATGTCCATTTGTATAACTAATGTAACCCAATTAATTGAGATATTTATAGAAATTATGAGAGTTTATTTATTATGATTTGAATATTTATGAAAGAGGAATAAGGTTCATTAACTATGATCAATAATTTATATTAGGAAACAATCAAAAATTCTATAAAATCACATATTCATCAAATTAAATGGACGATTGAGATTGGGTTGTAATGGTTGTACAAATGTAAAGGATTGTATAATAACCAACCCCCTTCTCTCTCTCTCTCTCTCTCTCTCTCTCTATATATATATATATATATGTGTGTGTGTATGTGTTTTTATGATTTTTACCGGAGGATGTATCGAGGAATGGATATTTTATATTTTTTTGGAAATGTTTTTAGAGTTTTAAAAAATTTGTAAGGATTTATGAGATACTACTTTGTCTATAAACTATAATAATGAATAAGTTTATGTTTAAATTCATAAAAAGTTATAAACTTTAATTAATTAATTGTTTATGAATAAAATTTAAAATGAAATTAATTATTGATTAAGAATGAAGGGATGATTGTAAAAGGAATATCAAAAGACAAGACGACAGCCTCTCTTTCTCCGGACCGTTTCTCCATATTCTCTTATCCAACGACCACCACCTATTACCCTAACCTTTCTCTATCTCCATCTCTCTCTCTCTCTCTACATATATATATATATATATATACACAGGATTGAGTTCATGTGAGACTAATTTGCTTTCGTAAGATCTGTGAGACTACTTTTTTACGTTTGAAACTTCACAGCACAACACTGTAAAGGTAACTTTCAGAATATTTTTGCTGTGAAAGTTCATCTTTTTTTTACCTTCACAACGTTTTGCTGTAAAGTTTCAAGTGTAAAAAAGTGGCATCACGACATCAGGTTTCACGTGAACCCAACTCTATATGTATGTGTGTATATATATATATATATATATTGTGTGTATGTGTATAAAATTATATATATAACTAGACTTAGTTTGATATTAATATTGGTCTCATGGGGTCTTTTAGTTGATGGTGACAAATGTTTACTTCAACTTTGATGAAAAAAATGTAGGTACACATTTTTATTTCATAATGCATGGATCATTACGATGTTGATATTGAGTAGAAAACATTTGAGGAAATGGAGATGTTAACAAAGACATAGACGACTTTTTCTTATGCTATTTAATTTTGACCCATCATGCCCAAATATAATATTTTTTTGACGATCTGTAGAATTAATATTTTCTTTGAATTGCACGACAAATACAAACACAATCTCGTTCTTGTTGAGGACTAAACCCTGGCCATTTAGAAGACTGAAGACTATTTGGTTTGTAAGATTAATAATAATAATTTTGTTGAAGCTAAAAAGCAACCAAGATCACTAAAATAAATCTAAGGTTTCTTTTCTTATATATGTATCAAATAAATATGATAATTAGCAAAGTAATTTTAATCATACCGGGTTTACCAATTGATATATATATATAGAGAGAGAGAGAGAGATTCATACAAGAATGATACTTATTTAAATACTGCAAGAAAATGGCTAAATTACGTACAAAATCATATGTAATTTACATTAAAGGACAAAAAATTGCGCAGGTGACCTGTGGTCGCATGGTAAGATCACATGATGAACATGTAAATTTGTACGTGATGTTAGTGTAAAATTACATTTGATTTGGTCATTCTCTTATTTTTTTTAAATAAGTATCATTCTCGTATGAACTCGACTATATATATATAATATTATATGGGCGAAGTTTCGTGTGAGAATGAAAGTTAAAGTGAGAATCGTAAGAAAAGATCTGGACTCTTGATCACCTTTAATCTCAAACCCACATATAAATCACGTTTGATACAAAAATTGATCTGGTGCATCTCATCCGGACAAATTGCTTACAAATTACTTTCAAATTACTTGTATACATATATACATAACGTTGAGATAAATGGTTACTAAAGTGTTTTTCAGTTTTTTAATTTTTTTACAGTTTTCCTTTAAACTTAAACATATATAAATATATATGTGTGTGTTTGGGATGGAAAATTTGAAGTGATATTTTTCCTAAATATATCATATTAATTTTGAAAACAAAATGAAAGAATCAATTATGTGTAAGTTTATATATATGATTAAGTCAAAATATAAGTAATGGGAATTGGGAAGTGAAGAAGATGTATCCTGGCTGGCTTAGCTTGTCAATATTTTATTGGCTTAATTAATGATTATTAATTGTTATACCATGTATATATTTCACTCATTTTAATCCATTCATTCATGCATACCATCCTAACAAAAATTGAAGTTTAAGCATTTCTTTATTCGTTTTGTTTTTATCACATAAACCCTAATCTCTCTCTCTCTCTCTCTCTCTCTCATATATATTTCTATATTTCATGACCCCATTTCTAAGCAAACCCCACTGCCATCATCATCATCATCATCATCACCATCACCTCACCCCTCTCTCTCCCCCTCCCTTCCTTTCTCTCACACACAAACAGACAAACACAGATACATTTTGGCTGTTTATAAAGTAATCAACTTCTCAAAATCAGAACTACTTTGGAAGCTTATAAGAATCAGAAAGAGAGGTAGCCAATAGAGATCGATCGGTTCTCTCATATCTCTTTCTCTTTCACACACAGACATATAGAAACATACAGGGGCTGATCAAATGAGGAAGCCAATAGGAGGAGAGAACCACAAGATCAATTCGATATCCAATGGAAATGGTACCATGATTGCTGCGAAGATGAGGAAAGGGTTATGGTCACCTGAAGAAGACGAGAAACTTATGAACTACATGATCACCAATGGCCAAGGATGCTGGAGTGACATCGCACGTAATGCCGGTTTACAGAGATGCGGCAAAAGCTGCCGTCTCCGGTGGATTAATTACCTGAGGCCGGACCTTAAACGAGGCGCCTTTTCTCCTCAAGAAGAAGAACTCATCATGCATCTTCATTCCCTTCTTGGCAACAGGTACTAATCTTTGATCTCTTATCTCACAAAAATTACCATTTACCATTTTATAAAACACAAGTTTGTGTTACTTCACTTCGATTTTGCATATATACAACACCACCCTTTCAACATATTTTACAACGAAGAATGCAGAAACCATCATATATATATATATATATATATATATATATATATATGTATATGTATATGTATATGTATATGTATATATATACATGACATATTTAAAATGTGAAAAGAGGCACAGCAAATTAGATATCAACACGTATGATAAAAATACATGACTTATAATTATGAATTGATTTTAATTATTAAGAGGATAATTATTAGAATGGCTTGTATCACTTGTACGTAGGTGCATGGACTATAATACCCATGGCTATATATATATATATATATATAAAATCTAGTAAGTAAGATGTCAAGGTCATGGTCACATGATTATACCTTCAACTTATGATGCAAATTTTAATCTATGTGCTTTTGACCTAAACTGGTTAGCAAATCTCTAATGGAGGTAACAATATTCTCTTCATAATTGGATCAAAGAAAGAGTAACATGACATAATTATCACACATAAACATGCATCATATATAGACTTGTAAACTTTACCACCACATCAAAAACCTTCAATTTATTAATCAAATACAATGCTTAAAATATCTTCTAATTAAAAACCCTTTATTCATATGTGAATATGGTAAAAGTATTTACATGTAATTTAATTTTACATCAAAAAGATACGTACGTAAATCAATATTGAACGGAAATGACCTTTTAATAGCTAGGTTTCGAATCCGATATATGTTGTAGTTAGTTCATTATTGATGTCGTTTTAGTGAATCAATCCGTCTATATATCTCTTTAATTGTTATGCATTAAGAACTTGTACAATTTGAAGTTGAAGAAGAATTTGTATGGTACATGTTTATGATGCATTTGGTCCAAGGCTAAAGGTGAAAGGGATAATTGAGGGGTGTGTCCACATGTACCCTTTGAGTTGAAGACACTCCACGTCTATTTCAGTAGTTTGTTTACAAATGAAGCCAACATCCATGCAACTCATGCATTCATACCGTATTTTACGTGTGATATAATCATAATCTTATTTATTTAATTTGATTTTCGGGTTTTTATTTTATTTATAGGTGGTCCCAAATTGCAGCACGACTGCCTGGTCGTACAGATAATGAAATCAAGAATTTTTGGAATTCCACGATAAAAAAGAGACTGAAAAACTCATCATCAAACTCGTCGTCACCCAACACGAGTCATGATTCATCATCTTCCGAGCATAGGGACATCATGGGCGGATTGATGTCCATGCATGATTCTAGCAGCATCATGGCTATGTACATGGACGCAACACGACGATCATCATCATCATCATCCATTCAAGCCATGACCATGAACCACATGATGGAACAATTTCCGTTAAACGATGATCATCATGACCAAAACATGCCCATGCATGCATCATGCTATGGCACAACACAACATTGCATGACTGGCATGGATGATAATGGAATTAGTTACCATGGATGTTATGAGATCTTTGGAGGGAATTTAGGGTTAGAAGATGAGATTTTCAATATCCCACCATTAGATAACATAGCTAACAATAACCAAGATATGAAAAGCGAACTCGATGATAGAAACACCATGATCATGACTAACAACATCATCATGAACCAATGTTACAACAATAACAAGCACAAGGTACAAGCCATAGCAGCAGGGTTTGAAAACTGCTGGGAAGGAGGAGATGACCTAAAAGCTGAAGAATGGGACCTTGAAGAACTCATGAGAGAAGCTTCCTCATTCCCTTCACTTGATTAAATCTTACTAAAAATGTAGATTTTATTAATTTTTCCCTCAAATTTCTTTTGCCATTTTTGGAAAGTGGCACCTCTTTTAATTTCCATATTTTGTAGTAGTGAAATGTCGAAGGTTGTAGAATAAAATGGCATTGAAACATAGATGTAATGGGGGCTATTGTGCAAATCTTGTTGTATAGATATATCAAGTGTACATGTACCACATTATGTGAGAACAATTTGGCCATCCCCATTCATGATCATGGGTGCATGGTTAATAATATTCAAAGGATTTACTTTTTTTAACTTATTCTTTTAAGAAATCGGAATTAAAAACTACATCTGAATGATGAAATATGTATATGTTTTGTTTCTGATGCATTAGTATTACTGATAATCCAATGTAAAATGTCCACATATCAAATTCAAGCTTGGAACATTTTAATTTAGATCATATACATACATATACATACATACATACATACATACATGCATACATACATACATACATACATACATACATACATACATACATACATACATACATACATACATGTGTGTGTGTGTGTTTTGAGTTACAAGTCAATGCAACATATATTTCTATATTAATAACGAAATTTTAATTGTATAACTCCAACGATCATATACATATTGCTTTTATTTCGCAAAGTATATAAGAAAACCTACATCAAATTTAAAACTTTAAATTTTTGAATCAAAATTTTATTATTTTTACTAATTAGTGTAACAAACTAACAAGTTTGATGTCGAAATTGGACCCGTTAAGAATGGTTATGGCACATGTAAGGGGCCGTTTACCTAAACACTTACCCGGTAAGCACTTACCGGTAAAATTTATCATTATCGCTTACTTATCTGGTAAGATTTTATTCACTAAAACACATTAATTGTATGCAACAATTTATCCAGGTAAGCGCTAACCATGGTAAGAGTTATCGTCCTCACTTACCGGGTAAGACTCTCGATTATTGTCTTGCTCTTACCAGGTAAGATTTTTAAACTTTGTCATATYCATCCGGTAAAGAAAAGTAACTTGGTAAGCGCTTACCCGGTAAGCGTTTGGTAAACGGCACCTAAGACGACCCCCGTATGACCCATTACGAATAGAAGTGACAATTCTTGACACGACACGAACGCGAGACAAAAATAAACGGGTTTGGACGGTAAATAAATTTAATCAAAATTTTAAATTAATTGCATCACACATACTAATATTTAATCAATAATCCGGGTCATGGCGATATTCATCATCAGTATTCTGAACCTGTTTCATCGTTGATTCCAAGCACATCGTTCTCGTCCTCTTCCTCCTCATCACTGTGGTGCTCATCGTCTTCGACCTCTTCCTCGTTGTAATCTTCATCGTCCTCATCATCATCATTTGGTATATCAAGACGTGGTGTAGGACCAATGTCGATAAAAATCTCACTTGTGGGAATGGTGGTAGTCACGCGCTCTTGGTACGTTACGTTGTTCGTCTGGCATCTACATGATAAAATATATGAGTGGTAAAGAAAACGTATAACCCAAGTTTTGAAAGTCTTCAAACATATAAAAATACATAACCTAAGTTTTGAAATTCTGATGGATGTCGCGATACGATGCTCGAAGCAACCTTTCGGGTAGTATATTACGTAGAGTTCGTTAAACTTATCAATATCTTGTTGTGCTTCCGTACAATTAAGAATAACCATCCAACAAGCTGTTTCCATTTATTCTCTAGTCAAAGTGGCATTCCAGAGGAGACGGGATAACATAATCAGACACGACTGAGAGGCTCCATCGAGATGAAGTGTCGTTATGTACGACTAGTACGGTATTCAAATAAAGATTCATGAATGACACACACTCATGCATGAGGTACCGTTCTACAATACAACATTCGGGGTAACGTGTATATGTTACATGTTTCTTGTATTCTCCAACAAAAATATATGTTCCCTAAATAAATTGGGATGAATTTGTAATTTTTACCTTAGGCAACATAGAAACATGAATATATGTTGCCTAAGTAAACTGTGTTGGATTTATGTTTTTTTACCTTAGGCAACATAGAAATAATAATATATGTTGTCTGAGTAAACTTTGAGGGATTTCAAAAAAAAAAAAAATGAGTGGCCAACATTAAACTAAGGCAACATAGGCTAATATGTTGCCTAAGATACATGCAGGCAACATAGAATCATGTATATGTTGTCTAAGGTCGCACTTAGGCAACATAGAACCATAGTTTGCTTAAGAGGAAACTTAGGCAACATATAATAGCATTTGTTGTCTTAGGGGCTGTTTGTTTGGCTCTTAATGATTACATTAAGAGCCAACCTCTTAATGATTACATTAAGAGCCAACCTCTTAATCGGTAAGAGGTTAAGTCTGTTTGGCAAAAAAAAACAACCCTCTTAATGGTTACAATAACCTCTTAACCATTTTGCATCCACTACCTCACTAAACCATTCTGATGTTCATTTTTCCAACTATGCCCTCCCTTTTTCACATCCATCCCCCTCCATTACCGTCTTCCCCCCCTCCATCACCGTCTTCCCCCCCTCCATTGTCGGTTCCACTCGTCGGTCTTCCATAACTACCAACAGCACACATCGCTTCTTCTTCACAGCCCCTCCCCCCACGTCGMTGGTCTTCAAATCCCAGCCCCTCCCCCCACGTCGCCGGTCTTCAAATCCCTCCCCCCACCCCACGTCGCCGGTCTTCAAATCGCTCCCCCAACCCTACGATCGTCGGTCTTCTTCTTCYAGCAGGTCTCACGTCGCCTTCTTCCAGCAGGTCTGTCGTCGCCGTCGCTCGTCGCCGCCTCACGTCGCCGCCGCTCGTCGTTGCCTCATGTCGCCGTCTCCGCCTTCTTCCAGCAGGTCTCACGTCGCATCCTCTCCTCTCATGTTTGTAACAATGTTAATTTCAGTTTCTTCCAGCAGGTCTCGGTTTCTTGATCTTGCATAAATCTAAGGTTTGGTTTAGGGAATTTATCATTTTTCTTTGGAAATTGATGGTGTTTATTGCTTATTTCATGTTTGTAACAATGTTAATGATGATTGGATTACCGACATTTTGCAATTTCTTGAGGATTTGATACTGATATGAAGAGACATCATCTTTGGTAATTGTATGTTGGTTTATTCAGTACTATATCATAACTAGGGTTAAAATGGTAATTTGCTGTCATTCAGAGAACAATTACCAAACAACTTTGTTTCATTCAGCACTTAACCATTCTGATCCTCTTAGCCATTCTAACCTCTTAACTATTCTGAACTAAATCATTCAGCAACTGTCAAACAGCCCCTTAGTGTATCTTAAGCAACATAGGCAATTTACATTTGTTGTCTAAGAAAACATTTGGTGTAGTGAGTAATCCTCAAAACTTGCACAAATTATCAACCATATATATAACATATATGCTTTAAACCAATAATATCTCATAAATTCAATTAGTTTTAACCCAAATGGTGCTCGCGCAACTATGCTATTTTGGTCAAAACACTACTTGTTTTCATCAATGTTATGTTAATTTGTATACATAGGGTTGGGTTCACGTGAGATTAAGTTGTTTTAGTGAGACAACTTTTTTACACTTGAAATTTCACAGCAAAAATCTTGTGAAAGTAAAAGAGGGCGAACCTTCACGGAAAAAACGTTGTGAAGGTTATCTTCACCTTCACAACATTTATTCAGTGAAATTTCAAGTGTAAAAAAATTGTCTTATAAAAACAGTCTAGTGTCACGTTATCCTGTATGTATATACAATGAAATGAAAGACATTGATGTTGATTTGGGATTTATGAATGAAGAGACAAAAGAATGTTGTAAATTTGGTGAAAAAGAATGTGTATTAGTGGAAAGTAAAGAGGTGGGGATGGCTTGTTTTCTGCGCATTATCCAATGTGTATGGAGTTTGGTTAATTTTAGTTGTTCTTCGTCTGTCAACAATTAACCCTTTCTTCCCCCCAATAATGGGGTTCAAGTACCAACGTTATTTCCACCTCTCACTTCATTTAACAACGTGTCTCATGTTGTATTAATATTATATATATATATATATATAGAGAGAGAGAGGAGCGTTCAAATAAAAACTACTCAATTTGTAAAAACCGTGAAAACCTCATTCAATCAATCATAATTTTTCATTTTTTTGTAATTATGAGAGGTTGATTAACCATTTTTATTGTGGAGGTGTTAATCATGGATATTATCATCTTCATTATTTTAATTTTAGAGAAATACATGAAACAGTTTCATTAAAATTTCATTAAATATTATATAAAACAATTTCATAACCATATATGAAACAAATTAATCAAAAAAAGTATTATATGAAACAATTTTACAAAATTAAACAATTTCATGAAAAAAAAATTTATAAGATTAAACAATGAAATCGACATATGAGGGTGGTTTGTACGGTTTTTACAAATGAGGGTGGTTTTCATTTGATCGTTCATCTCTCTCTCTCTCTCTCTCTCTCTCTCTCTATATATATATATATATTGGTTATTATACAACCCTTTATATTTGTACAACCAATACAACTCAATCTCAACCGTCCATTTAATTTGATGAATATGTGATTTCATAGAAGTTTTCATTATTTCTTAATATAAAGTATTGATCATAATTAATTAACTATATTCATCTTCCATAAATATTCAAATCATAATCAATGAAATCTCATCATTTCCATAAACATCTCAATTTATTAGGTTGTATTGGTTGAACAAATGTGATAGGTTGCATTTGAAACAAACTCTATCTCTCTCTCTCTCTCTCTCTCTCTCTATATATATATATATATATATATATAATAAGTTATTATTTAACTTTTTAAAGTTGTACAACTCAATCTCGACCGTTCATTTAATTTGATTGATATGTGATTTTATAAAAAATTTAATTGTTTTATAATATAAAGTATTGATCATTATTAATAAACTCTAATCATCTTACACAAATATTCAAATCATAATAAATAAACTTTCATCATTTTCATAAATATTTCAATTGATTGAGTTGCATTGGTTGTACAAATGTGATGAGTTGCATTTGAAACTTCCACCATCTATATATATTATTGTTTTTCTTTCTTTATTACCTTTTTTAAAAATTAATAAATGTTATTTTTCAGTTGTTTTTTAGAATATCATTTAAAATTTAATAAATGTTATTTTCAGTTGTTTTTTAGAATATCATTTAA